CTTCATCTTTTTCAATTTTTTTTTTTGCAATATAATTTTTTATTTAAAATCTAATTTATTATTTATGTTAAATTATTTTAATTAATTACAACTTGGAAATTCAGTACAAAATTTTCTCCAGCAACACAGCACATTACAATGAAAAAAAAAAATCCGCTTTCTTACTAGCAGTAAATTTTGTTTTTGGAATGAAAATTTTTTTTGTTTTCAAAAAAATAAAAATGCAAATTACTCGGGAAATAACCATTTATTTATATGAATAAAAAAATCCATGAAATACTCGTGCCCAAGTCTGCAGGATGAGATATATTTTTTTTTTTCATAATGGCTTTTGTTCGTTTCCCAGGGGAACTTTTATAAGGTACGAGGACGGTAACATCAACAAACCGGTGACGGAGGAACGCAAGTGGGACAGGAACACGTTCCACTTTGACGACGTCGCCAAAGCGATGCTCACGCTTTTCACTGTCTCGACTTTCGAGGGATGGCCAAGGTGATTTTTATTTTTTCCAATTTTGATTTTGGTGCCATTAACAATCAAATCAATGATCAACACAACAAACGTACTTGTAAATTTCAGCTTACTCTACGTGTCCATCGACTCGAACAAAGAAGACTACGGACCAATATACAATTTTCGACCGATAGTCGCAGCTTACTACATAATCTACATAATCATCATAGCCTTCTTCATGGTCAACATATTCGTGGGTTTCGTCATCGTCACTTTCCAAAACGAGGGCGAGCAGGAGTACAAGAACTGCGAGCTCGACAAAAACCAGGCAAGCCTTTTTCCCTCGATTTTACCGATATGGAAAAGAGAAAAAACGGTGTTTTAACCATCTGCAATCGTTGGCGTTTGCAGCGAAACTGCATCGAGTTCGCGCTGAAGGCCAAACCGGTTCGCCGGTACATTCCCAAGCACAGGATACAGTACAAGGTCTGGTGGTTCGTCACCTCCCAACCCTTCGAGTACACGATATTCATCCTCATCATGATAAACACCGTCACCCTCGCCATGAAGTTCTACCAGCAGCCCAAGGCCTACACCGATCTCCTCGATTTCCTCAACATGATCTTCACCGCGGTCTTTGCCCTCGAGTTCATCTTCAAACTGGCGGCCTTTAGATTCAAGGTTTATCTCATTTTGACAAATCGAATGACCACTTTTTTCGTGGAAAACAAATCAACGACTTCTTGCAGAACTACTTCGGCGATGCCTGGAACGTCTTCGACTTCATCATAGTCCTCGGTAGCTTCATCGACATAGTTTGCTCGGAAGTGACGGTACGTACCCCCCTCCTTCTAATTTATCCTTTTAAAAAAATGATGTTCAAAACAATGCAGACCGGAGGTGGTCCCTCGGTGGGCATATCCATAAACTTCTTCCGGCTGTTCCGCGTGATGAGACTGGTGAAGCTGTTGAGCCGAGGCGAGGGCATTCGCACGCTCCTCTGGACTTTCATCAAGTCCTTCCAAGCGCTGCCCTACGTCGCCCTCCTCATCGTCATGCTGTTCTTCATCTACGCCGTCATCGGGATGCAGATGTTCGGCAAAGTGGCCATCGACAACGAGACGCCCATACACCGGAACAACCACTTTCAAAACTTTCCCCAGGCTGTCCTTGTGCTGTTTAGATCGGCCACTGGTATGTACACGACAACACAACCAAACCCGTCACATGGTCCATACGATTAAAATGGTATTTATGGGTTGTTAAAATAAACGGTTTAATTGAAATTACAATTTTACCAAACTATTTTTCGTTCGTGGAAACAAAAAAATTAGGTTTATAATATGAAAGCCGGTAAATAAATTTATGGTTTTAAGGTTATGTTCGGTACAACGTGTTTTTCTACTGATTTTTTAAACATAAGTGCGCTTGTTGTTTGACCCTCAGGTGAGGCTTGGCAGGAAATCATGATGGCGTGCTCGTACAGTAAATTGGTAGCCTGCGCACCGGCACCGGCCGGCTCCAACATAACGGAGGCCCAGCCGGAGAGCTGTGGCTCGGATTTGGCCTTCCCCTATTTCATCTCCTTCTACGTGCTCTGCTCGTTTCTGGTGAGTCCTTTTTTTTGACACACACACACACACACACACACACACTGACGTAAGCCAACCAAACCTGATCCTATGACTCCATACAGATCATCAATCTCTTCGTGGCCGTGATAATGGACAACTTTGACTATCTGACGCGCGACTGGTCCATCCTCGGGCCGCACCACCTCGACGAGTTCATAAGACTGTGGTCCGAGTACGACCCCGACGCCAAAGGCCGGATCAAGCACTTGGACGTGGTGACCCTGCTCCGGAAGATATCACCGCCCCTTGGCTTCGGCAAGCTCTGTCCACACCGGGTGGCCTGCAAGGTGACCATCTCTTATACACAAGCCTGCACGGAATCCAATACTTAATAGTAACGATGTTGGGTTTTGCAGAGGTTGGTGTCGATGAACATGCCGCTGAATAGCGACGGCACGGTGTTGTTCAACGCAACCCTGTTCGCCGTGGTGCGCACGTCGCTGCACATAAAAACCGAGGGCAACATCGACGACGCGAACGCGGAGCTGCGCGCGGTGATCAAGAAGATCTGGAAGCGCACGAGCCCGAAACTGTTGGACCAGGTGGTGCCGCCGCCGGGGGTCGACGACGAGGTCACGGTTGGCAAGTTCTACGCGACCTTCCTCATACAGGATTACTTCAGGCGCTTCAAGAAGCGGAAGGAGCTGAACGCGATGAGGGAGAGCGACCGGGATTGTCACAACGCGGTCACGCTGCAGGCGGGCTTGAGGACGCTCCACGAGGCTGGTCCCGAGCTCAAGAGGGCTATCTCCGGGAACTTGGAGGAGTTGCAGGATGACCCGGAGCCCATGCACAGGAGGAATCACACCCTGTTTGGCAGCGTGTGGTCAAGCGTCAGGAGACAACAGCAGCACTACCTCGACAGGGCAAGGTCGCTCAGGCTCACCTCGAGTGGCTCGTCGAAGGTTTGCTCTTTTTTTTTTTTTTTTTTTTTTTCTCTGCCACGTCTGTAATTTTCAACACACGCTTTTTTGTTTGACGCGCGAGCTATATGTATCATGACTACTGGAGCGTCTCTCTTTTCGTCAAATTGTTGAGCTTTGAGCTGTTATGTATACGTTTATAACGTTTACTTTTTTTTTTGCAGCAAAAATTATACCATTTAATGATATTTTCTTACACACTGTACAGCATCACATACTTGTGTTCATACGCTGATTTCAACCATTGTACTTGAGTATTATTATGATTTGGCTTGATTATACATGTATTTATACGTAGGTTCATCAGTTTTTTGCGGTGCAAGAGGCAAAAATCTGAAATTTCTCACTGCGATCGTGCTTTGCTGGTAATATAATGGAATGGGAATACGCAATGTAAAGCAATGGTTCATGCATTCTTGTTCAAATGTATCATCGATGTTGTTCTCGTTTCTTGTCTATCTTTCTCGTAGAGCCTTTAAAACTGAAAACAAAGACCAAAAAATAAAAAATAACGATATTTTTTAAGGATTCGCCGACCAATTCTATAGATTTCCTGCGATATTCTTCGTTGCAGAGGGGAGGTCCGGACACGCCGAATCAAATCGTCGCGAGGTCGCACCAAGTCGTACCAAACGTTACTGGGTAACTTTACAATATACATTTTTTTTTTGTAATTTAGGTTGCAAAGTTGATTTTGTTTATCTACTCATGACTGTATTTTTAATTTTTTTCTCTTCCTACTCCGCAGTGGTTTGGGTGACGGTGTGATGATAGGCCAACTGGGCATGGAGCCGAGACTGATGGGAGGCGAGGAGAGCATACCGATGAGGCCACTGGCGATGTTTGGTGGACAACAGCAACCGCAGCTCATCAACTACCACATACCTCAGAAAATCGTCGAGTAAGTATACCGATTTTTTTTTTTTTTTACGCATTTGACCCGATCGAGCGCTCAATTTTATTGTGACTTTTTCACTTTTTCGAGTGATTACGAATATAAAAATTTTTAATCTTGAAGCGAACAGGCAGGCGATAATAACATAATAACGATAAACAGCGGGTAAACTTTTTTTCGCTTTTTTTAATTACCTTACATTCCAATTTTTGTTTACATTAGTGTAATTAATTATATACTCTACGCTGTGATATATACACATAGATGGTTTTATATTATATATTTGTTAATGTTTAGATATATACGTGTGTACACATATAAATACATTTATTAATAGACCTATATATATTATAATGTGTGAAACTTTTTGACTTTTATCGACGTTTTCTTTTTCTCGATGTTTCGTGGTGTGTAGTGCATGAACAATAATTATCGACTTTTTCAAACTTTAAATGTGTACAAATAAAGAAAATTATTTTCTTTTTTCTCTTCTTAGACACTGTTTTCTCGTATAGAGTTCATAAGTAAATATTTTACGTATACTGAATAAATTCAAGGCAAAAACATAATAAAGATGAAAAAAAAAAAAAAAAAATACATCGAAGATACTCGCGTCTACGTGACATTAGAAATAAACTTTTTTTTTCTTTCCTATTCTTACAGTTTATTGTAATGGCTCCTCGGCTGAGTTAACAGTAGTTTACCTACACTTGTATTTTGAACATTGAATCTTCCCGACCCTTCGTGTCTCGAAAATTACATTGATAAATGTGTAATCATATCCGGCACGGTCGTTTGGTGTTATTTTTTTTATATTTATCATTGTTTTTGATGGTTGAACGAAAAAGTTTAGACATTATACGTGTACTTTTAAATTGATATACATATATACATATGATATTTACCATAATGTGTATACAATAATTATTTAGTAATGATTTTTTGTGTGTATTGAACGTATTTCCATCACGTGTATTATATTGGTGAAAATTTCCTTATTTAAACCAAAGAGAAATCGATAAATGTTGTTGTATGGAAATATGAGGAAACTTTTACCCCAGAAGCGAGTGACATATTCACGTACACAAAATAACTGTGTCTCCGAGAGCTTTTTGTTCATTTTCGTACGTTTCAGTGGACCAGGTAGCGGTAACTATCTTCATCCGAATAGGGATTACGGTAAGACCTGCAGCCTCACCAGAAAATGTAGATTTTGCTGTCTACGTTTTCGCACGTCAGCTTTATCATTTTTTACCATTTTGTATATTTATATACATGCCATTTTTGCAGCTTTTAATATTTATATACTACCTGCTTTTCTTTACCTATTAACAATATTTATTTTGCAACACGTTTTACTCCCAGAAAAACAGCAATTGAATTTCAAAGCTGGAGATGTTAATATATATAACGATCGTTGCACAAAATAGATATTAATTTCATTGACTGTCGTGTGTTTAGTCATTCACAAAAAAAAAAAAAAAAAAAAAAAAAAAGAACAACTTGCATGCCTGGATGCATCACTGCTTTTTTTGCACTCGTGTACACAAAATTCGTGGATTTACCCTTTATGTACATTCCTTCTTGTCTTGTATGTATGTGTGCTTCGGACAACCCGAGAACCAACTTGAATTGGGTAGTAGACATAAATTTATTTCTGCTTTATAGTCTTTTTTTGATTCGTAAAAATTTATAAGCAAAGGAAGTGAAAAAATATAAAATGTGTAATTAAAAAAATGAGTAAAATAGGTGTTATTGATTAATACAAAAGTGGATAAAATAAATCAATAATATCATTGTTATCATAAAAGTAGTCATAGTATTTCGCAACGTTGTAAATAGCTTTCATTGTTGTAAAAATCCAAAGAAGGCTGTGAATCGTCTGAGGACGTCTGTCTACGTAGGAAATAAAAGTATCACCTTAATGAGTTAGAGCAAATAATGGCACAGATGAAAATTAGGGCACAAATAAGAGTCAAACGGGAGTGAAGTATCGATCTTTGCAAAGACTGAAAAATAATTGTACAGCTTACTTTAGAAAAGTGACATCTATAACTTTTATAAGTAAGAGGTACAATTTTTGTTTTCAAATTCTTTGGAAGAATGAAAATTCACTCCTAAAAAATATTTTAGTATTTTAGAGTATAGTGTTAATTAATTATAATTTTGAAAAATCACACCCTGATAAATTAATCCTGACCTAAATTATACGTCATACATGTACAATTATTCGAATCAAACGCAATCTGAACAATACACTTTCAACTTGCGTAATTTCAAAAGCAAAAACAATGCAGAGTTTGAAATAATTGTACAAAATAAAAAAAAAATGAAAAGTGTTGATACTCTCTTTAGCACTTCGGTTATCACAGTCGATGGTTAGATTAATATTAGCAAATGCAGTAGAGACAAAAAAAAAACCAAAATCACCGCAAATTACCAATCGCATTTAGATTATACTCATAGTCCAAAAGATAGAAAAAAAAAAAAAAAAAAAAAAAACAAAAAGGCCAAATAAAGGTGGAAGGGGCATGTATGCTTGAAACATAGAATCTCATCAAAGTAGTCTGCATATGCAAGCAGTAATGCTGCAACTTCCTACATTGAATCGTCATAACGTGACANAATATTATAACGAATAATAATTTACAGTACCATTAATATTTAATTAAATAAAATAAATACATGAAGTGGAAGATACGTTTTCCTCATTTATGCTGCAGAGAATAAGAAATAGTGGGTAAGGTGAAATGGGGAAATAAACGGAGTTATGACTGCAAACCGTGTGTTATCAAGTATGTGAAATATAAATAAATTTAAATAAAAAAAAAGAAATAAAATAAGCGATTAAAAAATTTGAGAAAAATCTAATAAAAATTGTTGTTGTTGTTGATGTTGTCAGATAATGTGTCAAATTATAAATATACAAAATTTGAGGTCTACATTTTTGTTGTTTATTTTGTTCGAATAACACTTATTTGTTATTTTGAGGTTTTTTTAGGGACATGGAAGAAAAAAGAACCAATAAAAATTTCAAGGTTAAATGAATTATTTTACTGAACCTGTCTTTTACACATCAATTTCATTTATCTTACATAAATTACAGCATCATTTGATACGAAATCACAGAGGCTAAAATAACGTCGTAACGCATGATGTAGATTTTTTTTAATCCTTGTACAATTTTCTTAGTATTAAACTCCTTACTTTCGATCTTACAATAATGTAAAAATGTTTTATAATAATTATAAATGTGTTATTTATAGCTAGTCGAGTGTTTGAACTTTGAAAAGACAACTTGACCGCGGCATTTCTTCACATGGAAATTCTACACCTGTAAATGAAATTTCAGCAGTAAAGCGAACACTCATTTGAAAACCTATTGCATTTTTTGCTTTAGGAACAAAAGTCAACACTAATTCAACACTTGGGCTGCTTTTTTGGCCTTCACGAGCTCGACCAATTCCTGTTCAAAGAGAAGAAAAAAATTACAAACAACAATCACACGAAATGTCAACTTCCAGCAACAACAAATACAAACCTTGTATCTCTTCATGCACTCTTTTTTCGTTCTAGAAGGCAAACACGCGGCGATTTGGTCCCACCTGTCAGCGACGGAAGCTGGGTAAGTCTTGAGAGCCTGCTCCAGGAGTTTCTGTTCAGCTGGTGTCCATGCTGCGGGTTCTGTCTTCTCTGATTTTACAGACTTTTCCTTTACCTCGGCATCTTTGGCACCTGCAAAAAAATCATGAGAAAAAAATGTAAAAAATCAAAATAGAACCTAATGACCAAATTAAAAAGAACTCCGAATATTCATAAACTCACTTTTGCCGTTGGGGATGGGATTGTCGAGTCTCTCAGTGACAGCGGGCATTCTGTCATCAACGTCCTTGTGCTTTTTCTCGTTGATAAAATTGTCAAAGGCTTTTTTATTGGCCTGCTCTTTCATACTAGATTTACTAAAATCGGTGGATTGTAAGTCCTTGGCCTTAGCTAATACCTCTTTGGCGTCGCGTTTTGTTCCATCAGTAGAATTCGTGTGCTGGTTGATGAAATTCGCCACAACCTCCCAGCGCTGATTCGTTCCCGCTGGGAAAAGATTTACAGCTTTAATGAGCAGCTGCAAGTCGTTTTCAGTCCACGGAGCTGTGCAGCCTTTAACCTGCTTCTCGAGCGCACTCTTCGCGTCGTTGTCTTTATGCCCGAGGACAGCCCTTCTCTCGGCCTGTAGCCTCTGATCAACCTCTTCCATTATCCTTAAAAAGGCCTCTTTACCCTCGGCCCTCACACTCTTTACCGTTTCCTCCAACTTGGTCAATTTAAATAATTCGCACATTTTTTCGACGTTCTCCATATGCCTGATACTTTCGTCTGTCGTTTTGGCAAAGTAGGCATTTTCTTTACAAATATCTCTCAGATTCTTACGTTCCTTGCGCAGAGCTTTCTTCTGCTGGTCACGCTCTTGCTTCTGCTGTTCCATCTTGGCACGCTCCTCAGCCTCGCGCTTCTCGCGCTCCAAGCGTTCTTTTTCCGCCGCCTCGCGGGCTATCCGTTCTTCTTCCTGCTGACGGGCTTTCACGGCTTCTTGCTTGGCACGCTTGACGGCTTGCTTCTTATCTTTGTCTTGCTGTTGGAACTTGCGGATGCGCGGATCGATGCTGTATGCCATATCGACGAGCTGTCGTATTCTTATCATCTCCTCTTTCTTCTTCTTGGCACGGACGGATTTGTTTTTCTTTTCGATCCACTTGCGCGTGTCGCGGTCCTGACCACTTTCCTTGTCCTCCTCGTCCTGGTAAGAGTATTCTCGCCAAGACTCAAAGCCATACCAGAACAAATAAAACTTTTCTACCCGCTCTCGTGGAGTATTTGGATTGCCCAACTTGGGAACTGGCTTTTTCAACGACCACCGCGAGTTTTCTTCAAAGGCCTTGCCTACGACTTTGTAGAAATTTTCCTTAGCCTCTTTTTCATCTGGCAGAATGTCGCTAAAGTATGGGTCGACACTGTCGTAGCTTCTTCTTTTGACTGGATTACCAAGTGTTTCCCAAGCCTTAGTTATACAAGTGAAATAGTCGTCGTCTACTCTGATCTCTTCACCCATTGCTTTTCTCTTGTCAGGATGATGTTTAAGAATTTTGTGTTTGTCTACAAAATAATAAAAAAATCTTTAGAGGTTTGATTGATTGTGAGAAAATTAATAAAAACTTTATCACTACACTGGTGTAGTAAATCCTTACAAGCTCTCTTAATAACATCCTCCGTTGCCTTGTGTCTGAGATCTTTAATACCAAGAACTGCATAATGATCTTGCTCTTTCCATTCCTTAGGATCTAGAGATCTTAAGTACAAAATGTCATCTTCGAACTGATAGTTGGAGTAGTCTTCTTCCTCTTCCTCTTTGTCACCATAATCTATGCTTGTGTCAACTCTACCATGATTTCCTTCTAACACAGACTTTAACCAAGCCTCATGGGATACATAAACAATTAGGGCGTTTGTCATTGATTTTTCCATTCTTTGGCTCCCTATGTAAAAGTATAAAACATGGGTATTGAATTTTTAAATCAACTTGCAATTGTCATTGTATAAAAATCAATTCTATGACTACGAATCGTGTTGGACCAAAAAAAAATTTATAAATTTAATAAAAATTAACGAAAGATCTTTGCATCACGTGGTTCTTGAATACACAAAATATTCCTCAAATTCTTGCGATGCACCGTCAAAAATAGTTGAGGCGTAAAAATCATTTGTACTGCTCAATTACCATACTAAAATAAAACATTCAAATCTAATTGTACAAAATAATCACGATTTTCACGAATTATTTATTATTTCATACTGACTCGACAACCGCTAAAACGACAATTTTTCTTATATAAAATATACGACAAATTATAAGTTTACCAAAAAATTTTTCGCGTGAGATGAGAGCAGAAAGATTTGGCACACAAGCGCACGTGTGAAAAACACAAACGTCAACCCAAGTCACACCAAAATCTGATTAATTTCATGCAACGAGTACGTAATGAATAATAAGAAAAATTCAATAGAATATTTAGAAAATAAAACACTAATAAGTCAGACATAGATGGATTGTAGTGCTTAATTGTCAAGTAGAGGTGTTGTGCAAAATACTAGTAATAACACATAACCTAAATGCCCAACATGCATTCTTCCTCGAAAGGGATATATTAATAAACGAGCAAGTGTGCAACATCAAAATACAACCAGAACCAATGCGTGTACGCATCCGTACATGCGAGTGCATTTTAGTAAAGGAGGATAAAATTAAACATAAATCTACACACAAGTACAGGTACTTACGAATGGACCCAGCGATTGCACACTGCTCGGATGCTGTCGTCTTAGCCATGGTCGTTTTGCTTTGTTGTTCTCAAAGACCGTTAATCGTAATGTAAGACTGTACAAAATCAATTGGTTAAAGTTCTAAACGTTTTTCGTTCTCTAAATGACCTTTCTTGCTCTTTCTTGTCTTTCGTAAATTAAAAACTCCAACTGTCCGCCCTCCGAGTAACCGCAGGACTGGTAACCGTCCCCGACGAGTGTCCGCCGTCCGAAGTCCCAACCCCCCGAGCCGCGCCGTTCGTCTCTCAGATGTTTTGTTCTCCGACTATCGATATTTTTCATACCGATATGTATCGTCGTATCGATGTTGAAATTCAAATTGTTGAGGTTCGGTAACCACATGGAGAGCGTAACGCGTACCGCGTAACCATTTGAGCCCATGAGAGTGCGACCGGAGCCTAAGAAATGTCAAACAAGCCTAAATGTTATGCAGGGTCTGTTCGCGGTGTTAAGCGATAAGGCCTATTTGGAAAGCTTTTGAAATTCGCAGACAGACATGGCGGCGCGATGAAAGCGTTCCTGATTGGTCAACTAAAATGGATGCGCAACGACACACACCTGTGGTACCTATACTTATTGTTACTTGGGTATAAAGGTTAGAGGCAGTAAAGACCACTGACGAACATTTACGATATTTATTTACAGCTTTTTACAATGGCTCTTGGCACTATAGCCTCTCTCACACACATACTTATTACACTAGTTTGGTGAAACACTGTTATGAATTAGTCAATACTGTCTTTAGGTGTTCACCGGTCGAGAGGTATGTGTAGTATGTATATTTTTACATCATGGTTTAAACTGTAGCCGCGCGAATAGTGTCAAAACATGAATTAAGTATTTCATAAGTTTATTCAATTTATTCAACTATGCAGGTGAAGGATCCCGTAAATACGTTGGAGGACAAAATGTAGTAAATGCAAAAAAAAATTTTATTGCACCATAAAATTAAAAACGTCGTAAAAAAAATGTGGTCTGTTTATGTTGGAAATCGAATAATTGGTTTGAGAGAGAATTTAATAATTACATAAGAACTGTAGTTTGGCACATCGTAGCGATATTATGTTTAATACGCCCAATTTGCTGCATTATTGAACCAATGCTCGTCTGTGTACATTATTAACGTGTCGAACAAAAAAATTCTATTCAATACTATGAAATAAGTACTCTAGTATAGTGGTGGTCCCAAAAATCTGATGAATCCAATGCATCCATGGAAAATGCTTTTGCTAATGAACACGAAAGTATTCGGAAGCTCCAAGCTCCAATTCAAAAATTTAGTATTCTACGAAGGCTGAGTAAATCGTAGAAATTTTTCTAATTTGTTTGTACAACAAACTCGCGATTTCGCAAAGTCTACCCTAAATCAAACCTTAGAGTGGCCAGTAACACTTTCGGATAAAGTATATTGTCGGTAAGTGTTCAGTTATCGACTTGAAAAGTACAAGGTTACAATATATAGCTGTTGCATGATATAAGTGTAAGGACAAAGTGCAAATTTTGTTTAATGCGTAACAATCCTGATTCCACTACGATTCTCTCAGAGCCCGTAACGATCCCGTTTTTTCCCGAAAGTTAATAACACTTCCTTACTATTAGGAAAAATTTTTTTGGCCAGATTGGATCATAAAACAATCACTTGTTGTAGTCACATACGATGCAAAAATATTTGAGAAATTTTACAAAACCCTTTTTAATTCAGTTTTTTGTACTTCAGTCTTCAGAATCTGCCTTTTTTTTTTGTAACTGTTCAATGGCGAATTAGGTTTTGACGCTGAGAAAATAATATTTCTCGGCGTCGATTGATGTGCTCACTGTATACTACATGTTTGTTTATAATACCTCTATGTGTCACGATTTGCATTATTTCGTTGATCTAATTTTAATGTTCACACACAAAAACTATACACCCATTGACACGAGTATATCTACACCACAGTTTTAATTGTTTCATTAAAGCTGTATCTTAATATGTGTATGTAAAAAATACGACGAAAAATCTTTTGTTTCCATGTGTGTCATATTGTACCATAGAATACGACCCTTAGGCATTTAATTATCTACGAGAGGTTCGAAGGATAAATCGGCCAAAGTGAAATTTTAAGGAATATATATCTACTCCCCGACTATTGCACTACCCCTTCCTGGTTGTCGAACGTTGCTCGAAGCATGCGATTGATCATTTTCAACTACCGAATCGTCGACTAACACCTACACATTGATGTATACTACTAACATTTTTTCGTATGAGTTGGTTTTTGTTTTTTGTTTTGAGTTTCTGCTGTGCTTTCAAAAATGCATCACTTATCCCAGTAATGGTGTAAACGTGAGAAAGATTGTTTAAATACTTGTTAAGATCACTTTGGAATTCAACTTTTTTATCCGGCCCTAATACATGCAGTACGACTGGAAGCGCATGTTGTGTGTTGAAGCATTGTTGAAAAAAAAAAGGAAATCTTACACAAGTAAACGTAAAGTATGTTTGAAACGCTCACCTACAGTGTCCTGGGGCGGAGAGAGTAACGGGAGCGTGGGCGCCGAGCGCTTGTCACACAGCCTACCGGGTAGCCCAGCCGACAGGAAGCCCAACTTCGAGGTCATCGGCAGCGCCGAGAGTCTCGTCGGCAGGGTCAGTCCTTAATGTTGTCATTGATTGTCGCTTCAACCGATAACTCAGCCATTAATCCGTGCCCAATCCGTAGGTGCTGGTGGAACAAGGCCTGGGCAAGTACGCGGACCCGGAGTTCGTGCGCTACACCTCGCGCGAGATGCAGGAGGCCCTGGACATGACCCGCGAGGAGATGGACCGCGCGGCCCACCAGCTGCTCCTGCAAGAGCGCCGAGGCCAAACTCTAACCTACCAACTGCAGCAGCAGACGGCCGGGCCCAACAGCCTGACCCCCCCACCACCCGACCACCACCCCCACCACCAGCCCTGGCATTTTGGTCCCGGACAACAGCAGCCGCCCCAGCAGGGCTCGGCGGTAGCTTACCAACCGCTACAGGATGCCTCGCTGCTCATGCCTACGCAGACGTCGCCGATGATGCAGAGGCAGCCGTCGCCCCAACCGCCCGCACCTCCGTCTTAGCGACGCTCGCCTGGCGGCTCCGATCGGGCAGCCGGGGACTGAGCTTTCACGTGTGCGTGTGCGCGTGTGTGTGTGTGTGTTTTTTTTCCACAGATTTCGTTTCGACTTGTTTTTGTTTCTTTCTTTTTCCACAGCACCGCTGGCGTTTATTACAAATATATGACGTATTGTTATACACCTCGTTAATATTTATACATGATATATATTATGATGATGATTGTGGTGAGCTCTCCCGGTCGATTGGGATGCGCGCAAGAGGAGGGTACGACGATGCGAACGAAAAATAAGAATGCGGTTTTTGTAGGTTATAATTGGTTACTTTGCAAGCGTCCCGACGAGGGGCTTCCCCTTTTTTCGATGCATGGGTAAAACGAGATCGTTCGGGGTTCGGTGAATCGAGAGAAAGAGAGACTACGCAATAAGCGCGCGAGTCGTTGATTATTTGTCCTCTATTTTTTTTTTTTTTTTTTTTTTTTTTTTTTTTTTTTTTTTTTTTTTTTTTTTTTTTTTTTTTTTTTTTTTTTTTTTTTTTTTTTT